TTGTGAGAACCAAGTCAAAGTCAAAGTTACATTGCGACTGACGGTCAGTCAGTCTGGCTGTCATGACCAGATGTTGCTTTTTAAATGAAAGTTACTGTCCTGTCCTCTGACGAGAGGTCGGGTCTGTCATTTGTCAATCATAGTCGATAGTATTAATCCATTGTCACTATGTACACTTATTTACAATTGAGTCTTAATATCTAGTATGTACAATATATACAGGGCCTCTGTCAGTCTAGGCTCAGTACAGTAAACTATGCCCTATTTCTAGTAGTATTCGCTACCACGGCAGTCTAAGTCACTTGAACGGTCGTGTGCCTGACCGCCGCCAAGTTTAAGCCTCTTATACTCTCTGTGGCGGGCTTCGCCTTGTCCGATGTTGCGAACATTCTCATTTTCATGATTTTTGTATAACTTCTGCTTATTGCCTGCATAATTTTGTTATATAGTCATACGCACGGGATTTTGAATGCCATGTGCAAATCGCGGACCGGTGTGCGCCTCGGAAAATTGTCAGTGGTGCGGAGAACCTTGTTTTGCAGGCGCTGCAATTTCACTAGATGGGTGTCTGCCGCAAACTCCCAGGCGGGACTAGCATAAGTCATTATGGATCTAATGAGAGCTTTGTGGAGGGTCAATTTAATGTTAGCGCTCAACCGCTCACTTTTGAATAGGGAATATAATCTAATGAATGTTCTGAAGGCCTTGGCTTCGATCATTTCTATGTGCAATCTCAATGTAACTTTCTTATAGAAGATTACACCTAGATACACGTATTTTGCCCTATTTACAAATGGAATATTTGGTCCCTTTAGAGTAAGACTAGACTCAGTCGGTTGACGACTACGAGAGAAGTAGACCCCCTGAGTCTTATCTTCATTCATTTCAATATTCCAGCGCTCACACCAGGTCTCCATTGAGCTGAGACCGCGCTGGAGTTTTCTAACAATAAAACCCTCCTTGCGATCTGTCGCATACAGACACGCCTCTGGTGATGAGGTTCGATGAAAACACCCTCTCCGTAGTAGTTTTCGGTGTTCTCTTCGCCTTACTCTTTTGCAGCTCTTCCCTGGCGTGTCTGCAACCCCGATAGTAGGCGGGATGTGGCTTGCCTCCCTCCGCCAATCGGCAGTTGCAGGATGTTGGAGTGGAGGCAGAGTTTTCCTTTTCTGGGCAAATCTTATGCAGGTGGCCGCCTCCGCACCACAAACAGCTGGGAGGTTGTTTACAGTTAGCCCAGACGTGGCCAAACTGTTGACAGTTATGACGTTGCGTAAGTCCAGTGTGGGCTCTATACGTCTCCACCTTGATTGATATGTGGCAAAGGCTTGGCAGATTTAATATTTCATGTGATTTTTCCGTCCGCGGCAAGGTTATGAGGAACAAGGGAAGGTTTCCGGTTGTTGCTTCTGCAAGTTGGGATCGACGTGTTGTCATTTGCTTGACGCTAACAACGTCGAAGACCAGGTTTTCCAGACCTTCTGAAATGTTCTATGCAAGGGTATTTATGGGGAGGTGTCGGATTACTGCCTTAACAGGCTTCTGCGATTTTGGGAAGAAGGAATAATAGGCTAGGTTATTGTTGGTGAAATGTGACCTGATGGCATCTAAATCCGCCATGCCTTTCGTAACGACTCTGGTTCCGTTTCTTGTGCTACGGAACTCGAAGTCGCCCTTGACGGCGTTTTTCAGTTGCTTCTGCAACTGTATGAGATTCGTGGATGATGTCGATGTTATTGCAGGCGGCCTACCTGCTTTGCCATACACTGTCTCCTCAGGTGTGGCGGTCTCTGCACTAGTGCTGTCCCGTCGCCATTGATGTCTTCGGGGGTCGAAGAATTTACGGGCGGCAACCTCTTTAGGGGGCGTGATTTCAGCGGCTGGCACTGCTGTCTTTGAGGTCTGGGCGACCTCATGGGTATCGTGCCGCGTGCGCCGCCGGGCTTCTTTGAAACCGGCCTCCTGGGTTGAAGAGGACTTAGTTGCCTCAGACTGAGGAGTTTGACTGTTCGCCTCCAGCACGGCCTTTAGGTCCTTTAAGGCGACTGTGTATGTGCCATACAGGGCACTAAACAAGGTCTTCTCTATCAGGGCCTGGCAGTAGTTCTGCCCGTTTTCGCCCGCCTCGCTGGCGATGGATGACCACTGCTCACTGTCACCCACCGAAGCATCAGTGTAGTCTGCCACGTCCTCGATGTCGCGGAGTACTTGAAGGAGCTCTTTCAGCTGTGCGTCTCCGTCGGGGAACTCGCGTACCAGCCGCTGGTACTGTGATTGTAGCGTCTGACGCTTCTTGGTCCAATGTGCCCGGTATTCCGGCACTGGGATGGCAGCCATATTTGGTACTATTGTTTTTGTCTCGTGTTCACTCACTTCAGTTTTAGAAGAACCACTGTCAACAATGAATATAAGTAGTAGTTTACTATCGCAGATTCCTCTCTTCACTGTTCAGCTACAACCGATGCGAACACGCACCTAATTGTCAATAATCTCGACCCAGAATCTCACACACCCAAGCAGGAGACAGACACTTGAACTAATGAATGAACGACCTCTCCCCTGTAACTGAATCTACCAAGATTTTATATCTACACTATTATTTTACTCAATGCTCACTTAGACGGCGTTATCTGTGGAACATCGTTCGAATCTGGGTTCATCACTTTGATTCGTAATAACACGTAATTCAAGTTTCTTAATCCAACAAGTTTCTTGGAAATTTACGGATTTCAAAAGTGAACTTGAATCCACAGCAGATAAAAATGTAAACATTGACACGAAGATACCGTACCCAATGTTTCCTTTTTAAATAACACCTTCCCCAGTTAACCTTGAAATATAACTTGTTTAAATTTGCGTACTGCTTGCCGTGCCGTGCCGTGCAAAGCAATAATGGAATGCCAACGAATAACTAACATTCCAGGAAGGAGACATACGCGTATCTAGTAATTTTAAATGCAACCTTTGCAAAACTGCACATAAAAGTGAGAAAATTAAAGTTTAAAGTAAATGCAAATGTGTTGCACAAACACTGTATGTCTTACTGTCTCTTTTTTAAGGTGAAGCATGGTTATTGCCACCTAGTTCAGCACATTCATTCATTCATAAATGGCACTACAGCTCTTTGTTGGGCCCTGGCCTCTTCTTCAGTTTCGTAATGTTTTTTACACAGACGGTAGGACTCCTTGGACGGGGGATCAGCTCCTTGCAAGGCCGCTACCTACACGCAGGACAACACAACACAGAATAAACGCACATACACAGACATCCATGCCTTGAGTGGGATTAGAACCCACGATCCAAACGTTCGAATACAGTTCATGCCCTAGACATCACGGTCACTGTGATCGGCCTTTCTTTTAGAACATAACTAAATTAAATTCGGTTTTTGCCATGAATTTATTGTCCCTTTTTGCCTCAATACGTGCAACATACACTACATTGCGACTGAAATATAAACGAGAAGTATGGACAGGAGGCAAGAGTGGAAACAGGGTTCCCTTCTTTTTCTTAAACATCCGCAGGTAAATTTTGTTATACTAATCCTGTAACCAGCCGGTCACGGTAGCCGAGAGGTCTAAGGCATGCACTGTCTTTGCTCGCTCGGAAGCCGGGATCGTGGGTTCGAATCCCACTCAGGGCATGGATGTTTGTGTGCGTTTTTCTGTGTTTGTCTACAGGCAGAGGCCTTGCGACGAGCTGATCACCCGCCTAAGGGGTCCTACCGAATGTGTAAGATTGAGAAAAACCGAAGTGAACGGAGTTCATGGAGGGGAGCCTAGGCCCACTGGGGCTGTAGTGCCAAGGAAACAAAAATCCTGTAAGCGAACTCTGGGTAACGCATGCAGTTGTTAAAGGAATGACAAATGAGCTAGGAAGCATAATGTGGTTCGATATATCGTAATGATTGAAGCAGAATCCATTGCACAATCCGCAAGCAGTCAGTAAAGCCGGTTTACATCATGCGCATAACGAACTTCATGGCACAAGCGAGCAGAGTCGCTCAAGGGACGGAGCTGCTAGTTTGCATTCGGGATCTCCCTGTTCGAATCTTGACAGGGACACCGACTCTCTCAACTGAGGTTTCTCGTGGTTTTTCATAGTATCGCTAGACAAGTGCTGGAACCCATAGCTCAAGCGGTTAGTCGCTGGCTTCCCACCGCGGCGGCCCGGGTTCGAGCCCGGGTCTGGTCAAGTGGGATTTATGGTGGACAAAGTGGCGCTGGGACAGTTTTTTTTCCGAGTACTTCGGTTTCCCCTGCCAATCTTCATTCCACCAAATTTCCTATCATAATAATCACTCGGGGGCAGGTACAATAGGCAAACCAATGGCCGACCTGCCGAGTGGACCCAGCTGGATTGTACCTCCCCACTATACGAATTTAAAAAATGCTGGAATAATTCTTCAAATTACTTCATGATCGGTTTTTAGTATAATTTCCGGTTGATTGTTTACTGATCACCCTACCATTTAACGCTATGTAATCTGAGTTACAGAGAGCGTCATTAAATAAATCTTAAATGAATAAACTCTCTGGTGCGGCGTCTTCCGTGCAAGTTACTGGACTGAGCAATTTCCTTGATTTCGGTGAACCCAAAGGTTCGTTGCCACGTTCTCACATTAGACCCTATGCTGAGCTACTCCGCTACGCCCCACATGATCACACCCTGCTTATCTAGGATTCGTTTTACTCCTATCTCATCTACAGCATATCCCTTACACTAAGGGACTGTTTTCATTTCCCCACTACACTGTCTGTGTACTGGATACAAGAAGTTATTAGTATCAGTTAGATGGAAAAGAAGCGAGTAGATCAAGAAATTCAACTTGTTTAACTTTGATAATAACAAATTAAAACGCGTCGTTAAACTCATATATCCAAGTTAGCGCAAGTCGCTAGTGCGCCGAACTGTGTTAGTTGTGTAACATAAGTACATATTATAAACAGAAAGCGAATCAGTACATCGAATTGAGATGTATTATGGTCTTACTCTCATACCCTGGCGATTGAAGCAGCAGGTTCCTCCGAAACACTGATAGCGATGTACCAAACCAATCAGCATCACATCCCACAATACCGTTATCAGTACACCGAAGTAGATACAGTTTTGTAAAGAGGAAACTAATTCGGAAAAGATGCAACTCGATGTGCAATGGGCGTATGAAAGAATAGCGAATAGCGATGAGTAGAATTAGGAAGGGGTACGTGTAGTGGGAGGAGGAGGAGGAGGAAGTATATGACTGCGCCGGCGCGACATCCCACTGGAGCTGAGATTTGGATGTACTCGACACGGTTACTATCTCGGCTGTTGCTAACATCAAAGGTAGTACGAGTAAGGCTACGAGGTGCATTTCTCTCACACCAACTGATCACCTGTGCCGAAAATCTCTGGCGTACAGAGGTATGTGCGTAATCAGTGACACCTCATCACAAAACGAAGATAATTATTCATATAACTGATACAAAAGTAAAATATGTTAATTATTCAGTAATTAGTATTATTGTTATAATTATTATTAGCGTGTTTATTATATGAATGAACCAGTTTAATTTTAATGCGATACGGAGTGACTTTCTGATGTGAATGTTCTCTGTGTTTGTACGCTTTTACGACGTTCAGAAAGAAGTGAAGTGTTTTACAGAACTTCCGCAATATATGCCGGGCTCTTGTACGAAACACAAATATTATACATACTGTGCTGGTTGGAACTGTTAACTGTGTGTCGGGTGAATAACTCAATCAACTTGTCAAACACTGCATTCAGTTTCCAACCTACTTACATGATTCAGTGGTTAAATAAGTCGTATTATTGAATGTCATCATTAAATAAGTCTCTGTGTGTAACGTGAATATTCTCTGAATTGGTAAATATGTGAGTCAACAAGTGGTTTCCTTGATTGCTTTCTTGCAAGATAAACAACATATAAACATACAGTTCTTAGAATTTGGTCTACTAGCAGACAAACGATTAACATTAACTGGTGGACGTTTTGATGTCGTGTTCTATGAGTTATTGATTGCAAGTTGAATACTTGTTTCACATTTCCGAAGAACTTCCTGACTCTTCGTAATAATGAAGGCCATGACATCTTCTGTCCATATTCTAGCCATGCTAGGCTTCCTACTGGTGAGTACCGTATGTGAGTTAAATAGTGTTCACTGATGGCTCAGCATAACTAGTTCTCAGTGTTCAGATGGAATAAATGTAAAACTGAAGCGTATTTCCAAGTTCATATAATTATAACATTAAGTAGGAAGAAACTAGGATGGATAAAATTATTAACCATGTGTTATAGTGGAAGTGAATAATCTGGTTATTATGAACAATAACCGGCGATTATACAAAACCACCGGTAGTGTATTAAACTTAATCCCTAATAAATGAGTAATATATGATATATTAATTTTAAAAAATATGAAGTTAAGACGATTCAGTTTCGTAATAAAAATCTTTTCAGTTTGTACACTTCGCCCGATGTTAAGGCTATTAAAACAAGAGGAATAAAATAGATTGGTTATGTAACTTGCATCAGAAAAACATTTAATTCATGCAAAATTCCGGTTTGAGTTCTCAGGAAAGACGTAAATGGAGATGAAAGGAAAATACAGAATGGTTATTGAGGGAAATACATTGCCAAAATGCAATATAGGACTGTTGTCAACATGTTTATTGGGCTTTGGTTTCCGTAACAGGGGTTGGGTTGGATAGCTGACGTATAACTGGCGGGATCCAATTACCCAGAATCACATAATCACGGCAGTTGGTTCTCTATCCTGTGCACATCTTGAAATAGTGCTGCAAGGACTCTAGCCTGGTCCTGAGAGCTTTTAACATTTCGGTTACACGTACAATTGCCTATATACACACACTGGTTAACAGTTGCTACTCTATCACAATATACATTGTTTAAGTTCGTTATCAAACGATTTTGTAACTTTATTAATATGTTTAAAGACTATTCAGCGTTCAACAAACAAAATCAAAAACATACAAAGTAGATTAACACAGTAAATTCTGTTAATTGCATATCTTCAACACCATACGTTATGTATACATCGCCTTGAAATCATCGTGTGGGAATATTTCAGAAATATTTAACCCTTTAAAAACTTAATTTATTCTAATACGTAAATATTCAGTTAGTACTGACAGGAAAGACATTATGTCTCCGCTACAAATATTAACCAGTTTTTCTGGTTAGGAAATAAAAGTCGCTGTTGTGGGAATCATTCAGAGCATACATACACTGTAGGCAGAACGCAGAGTTTTAGTATATTAAAGCAGGTGGTACGTAGTTACCAATGGACGTTTAAGGGGCTTAAGGGATTAAGCAGGTTAGGTAACTTGCGTCAGTTCTTTTAACCGTTAAATAAGTGCTATGACAAATTTAATGACTAGGGAAGAATAATTTCTATAACATCTCTAGCTTTGCTTATAGATTATTCTTATGCTAGAATGGGCAAAGTCTTCTTCATAGCTGAAGCAGGTAGACGCTGGGTTCGATCTCAGTTCAGCTCATTCGTGGCACTTGAGCGAGTTTCCTCTGAGTGCTTCTGTTTTTCCTATCATATTTCAGTCCAACAACTGCTCCACATTCAGTAATCATTCTAGCATACGGCGCTGTATAGTCTCGGTACCAACTGCCTCGTTAGGCAACCAACAATAAAAAATATGCACTATTATAGGGTCTCAGTGGCCGATGCTTCAACTAAAATATACTAACAAATTAATGCACCCTTTTTAAATTCAAATCTTGCTACACCTTAGCTTATGTCCCAGTGTCTTCACCGCATTGGTTTTATAGCGAGGAATGAGACTGCCGTTTGAAGCAAGCAAAATGTGAAATGAGGTTAATGGGCTGTCGAAGGTACCATATCTGCACTTTCCGGCCAACGTTAAGTTTTCTAACAGAGCCACGCTGTTATTAAGATTATCTTAAGTGATATATTGCCGGTCACGGTAGCCGAGCGGTCTAAGGCATGCACTTTCTTCGCTCGCTCGGAAGCCGGGATCGTGGGTTCGAATCCAACTCAAGGAATGGATGTTTAGTGTTTGTGTTTGTGTGTGTGTGTGTCTGTGCGCGCGCGCGTTTTTCTATGTTTGTGTACAGGTAGAGGCCCTGCGAAGAGCTGATCACCCGCCCAAGGGGTCCTACCGAATGTCTAAGATGAAGTAAACCGATTATATTTATGGCTGCTGTCCGTTTTTGTACTCGCGGTGTAGGATTAGGTGTGAAAGGTGGTAATGAAAGAGTAGAGAGGATTGTGGAGGGAGATGTGACACGTTTCCCTGCGCACTGGATTCGGCCGAGTCCACTAATACAGCGCGGATGTCTTGCAGACGTGTGTGTTAGGCCTCTTACACATGACGCCACCACGGTCGCGCCACCACGAATTTTGGTGGCGCTTTTCCTGGCACCGAGAATGTTTCTTCTCGCCACCAAATACGCCACCAGTCATGGATCAGTCTCAAAATGGAGTTGGAAGAGTCAGGTGCTTTAATCTTTTTGTTCTCCCGTTTGCGTAAACGCCGTAAAAAATCGGAGATTTTGGGTACACCCAATGTTAAAAAAACCGATCAACGAAAGGTATTTTCTACACATTGAACCGTGACCTTCGACAGAATCCCTATAAATTTTTCGTTTTTGCGCGCATGAGCATCGCCTTTTGATGAGCTGCTACAGTGCACGAAAGGAAAACTGACAGGTGTGGACACCAATATGAGTGACAGCATACCACCGGAAGAAAAGCTCATGGTCACCGAGTTTGAAGGCACAACACACTTGCAGAAACGTCTGGCCGCACTCGCAGTCGCGTCTCGTGTGAACACCTTCATATAATACAATGGACTGAGGTGGCGGTGCCAAGCTGGTGGCTCGAAAAATCGCTTCCTTCCGCCGCCAGCCGTATGGCAGCGCTTCCAGAGGCACCGCAGCCACCACGTGAAAGGTTTCATTTAAAGTTATTTACTGGCACTGCCGCGCCACTCTGGTGGCGTCGTATGTAAGAGGCTTTAGTCAAGCAGGAGCCTTGAGCGAGTCAATTTACCAATTGCACTGCGTCACATTTCTTCTAAAGAGCGCATCCTTATGACACATGTAACCAAGCTTTCACTGCTCAGTCTTTGCATCCACTCCCGTGATCGCTCTTGCTGTCAGGACCGTAATATCTGCCATTTATGTCCTCTAGCTGCTTAAGAACAGAATTAACGGTGCCTTATAAGGTTCAGTAACTCTGAATCACTCCAACTGAGTGTACTTCCTCACCTGTGTCTTTATGTAGGCCCGTAGCTTGGCTTGAGGGCCGTAAAGGGAGAAATTGAGTTCCAGTATCGGTAGTGGGCCCCAGTGAGAGATGTTGAGCACCAATTTAATATACATTTATTAATGTAGTGTGACGTTGACTTGTTCTCGTTTCTCCACTAGATTCTTTTCCTGGTTTCTGCCCCATGGTTTTGGAATGATTTCATTTTGTTTGCTTAGTATAAGGTGATGAAATTAGCGATTTTGTGCTCTATAATAACACTGCTCTAAACTCTCCACACTCAACGGTATAGACTAGCAATAGACAGCACGTACTCCACAAGATATAAGAGCGGACTATATACATTCTCCTGCGCAGAAGGACCTCAGTGGCCTCACTAAAATAATGTAACTGTATATTTACTTTGCATCGCAGAATGAACAGCGATAATATTCTGATGCCTCAACTGATTACTGTTTGAGCCATAGATGCGGCCTATGTTCCTTTACGGTAATATTTAACTGAGTTTCGCGATTAACATTGTTGGACCGAATTTTTGGTTCATTTCCAAGTTCTAACGGACAAGATTCCTTTGTAAAGAATAGAGGTTTTGTGTTAAAGTTATAAGTAAATAAATTATTTAGTTTGATGACCGCACTGAAATAAGCGAAACACCTGGGATCATCAGTGGTTTGTAGAAATTACTGGATTGCGGCGCAAATGCATTAGGATATATCAGGTCAATCTTTGCTCAGATTGGCTTTTCAGTCAAGGTGAATGAAATGTGCTGGTCATGTTGTGAAGCAGCAGCTGCTTGTGCGTTGCCACACGGGGAAGCTCTTGTATAATTGTTTCGAGATAAGATCATGTATGGGCACGCCATGGCCATGTTCGTAATCCTT